GCAGCAGATATTACAGTGAAATAACAGGACAACTAATTTCTTCTTACAGACAATGTAATCTGAGATGCAGTACAACCTATTTTTTTAAAAAAAGCTGTTTTTACATCCTTCTTCTTCCAGCTTTCCTGATAATGTCAGAGGGCTTTACCCAGGTCAAAGACTTTGTGTATTCATAGTACTCAGTCTGTACTCTCTTTTATGTCATGACGTTCTGCAGTGTATGTGTATTCTGAATAATATATTCAGACTCTGAATCAAATGTGGAGGGGCAGGAGGGGAGGGAAAACTGCAGTGAGAGTATTACAATATCCTTCCACAGCAGTGAGACAAAGTAATGTTTGTTTCAGAGCTTCAAAACTGATCTTATTGCAATCTGTAATTTCAGCTGATTGTACCCATTACTTATTCACACACATTGGCATCAGAATGCAACATTAATGCTTAGAAATGAGTATGTTTGTGAGTGAAAAATAAAAACAAATACTGCACAAGTGAAATTTTAATTAGGAAGAAAACACAGCATTTTCACTGCAGCACTCTTCTGGTTACCTTTCAGCTTAGAAGAGCCCTCAGTAGCTGGGTACTAAGTGTACTTTCCATGCACTTAAAACCAATATGTTGAAGGATGAGGATTTATGAGTACAATTTTTTTTTCTTGTACATCTTCCTTGTCTTTATCCTTTTGAACCACGACCACATTTTAGAGGAGGAAGTGTGCAGGGCATATTGGATCAGACCCAGTACCTACACTGCCAGTTTCTTTGGGTGGATCAGTGACCGAGGCTCTGGCAAAATTGTTCAAAGGGTGCCACGTGGAGGCTGTGAATGCAAGACTGGTGCTGAATTGTGCAAGTTGTTAGTGCACTGTCCCCTTTAGTACTGAGGCTAAGGAACCATCAGCTGAGCCAGCTGCTCCTGTTGGAGCCCTGGATCTCTGTAGCCGCAAATCCAGTCAGAGAAGATATGTTAGAAGGTGGATCACAAGAGGTAAAAGGAAGTGTGACAAACAGGAAAGGAGTCCATGAATATTTCCTACACCATAGTCTTCCAGCAGCGTGTGGCTAGGAGACATCCTTAATCAGGCTAGCTATCCTTGGTGTTTCATAATTTTCAGTGGCTTTTAATTCCACAAATTTGTCTTGTTTACTGTAGTATGTGCAGCTTCCTGCAGCAATAAATCTGACAGTTTAACTACAGATATGTCTGTTATATGACAGTAACAGAGACTTAATGATGCTTATGTCTTGGTTTTTGCAATCCAATTTCAGACAAAAATCAACAAAGAGACGCAACACTGGAAGATTGCAGAGAATATAGAATGTAAAGGCAGGCTTGGCATGTCAACTTAAGTTTCCATGTCAGTATCTCATTTATTCACATTTCCTTTTCACGAAAGGGAATGAAATCTTGCTATTTCAATGAGGATCAATTGGGCAAGCTTCAGGCCATATTCCTTCACTTCAGGTCTTCCCATTGGCTTTTCTTGTTTTCATGTCTGATAAGATTTTTTCTTCTTCTTCTTTTGAAATTTCAATTCTTCTGTTTCTCTTCTGTCTCTGTGTTTCCCTTTCTTCCCTGATTTTAGGGATTTCAGAGGGAATCATTTGGGCAACTTTTGGTCCTTTTCCCTGCACCACATTTCATCTCAGTGTAATTGCTTGTAGTCACTCCATTCCAAATTATCTGGAATTTTCAATTTAATTTTTGATTGACCATATCTCCTTTCTGGAGTGTTTGTTCAACTCTGTCCTCCAATTTCAAGATTTCATTTGTATTTCCTGAAAGAACAAAATTCCTTTCAGAACTGGCAATGAAATCTTGTGATTTCAATTGGGCAAACTTTGGGCCATATTTCTGTGCTTCAGGTCACCCCACTGGCTTTCCTTGTTTTCATGTCGTATCAGGGTTGGTTGTTTTTTTTTTTTTCCTTTTGAAATTTCAATTCTTCTATTTCTCTTCAATTTCATTATTGATTGACCATATCTTCTTTCTGGAGTGTTGTTCAACTCTGTCTTCCAATTTCAAGATTTCATTCCCTTTTGGAAATATATTGCCATTGCAGCCATCAGATTGGATCAACAACTACCTTATGCAAAATACTGAATACCTATATCATGAAAAGCTGATGGTTCAAGTTTCTCCTGATATCTCCCATCTCCTGGTGCATAACACTAGAGTTTGTGTGTCATCCTTCTTTAAATGCACAATTCAGAATAAATAAAATCCCAATTTTTTATTGATGATGTTGTACAGCAATTTTGCTCTTGTTGGTTTATTTTGTGGAACTATAGCCTTTCTCTTTCAATGATAGCCTCAGGTTGTGCCAAGGGAGTTTAGATTGGATATTGGGGAATATTTCTTCACAAAAAGGGTTGTTAAGCATTGGAACAGCATGTCTGGGACAGTGGTAAAATCATCATTGCTGGAAGAGTTTGAAAAATGTGTGGATATGGCACTTGAGGACATGCTTTAATGGTGAACATGAAGATGTTGCTGGGTTGACAGTTGGACTTGATGATCTTAAAGGTCTTTTCCAAACTCAACAAATCTATGATCCTGTGACAGCCTTCAAGGCCTTGTAATGTATCTGGACTGGTTGAGCACCTCCACTGCACTGTATTTTCTCAATTAACAAAAAAAAATCAGTGTGAAATGATTTTTTCAATCTATTAAAATGTCATCTGTTCTAACAAACAACTAAACACAAGTATTTGTTTTTGACTTCCCTTATGGGAAGCAAGGTTTAGTCCATTTGTTTTGGTGGGTGATAGTTTGGGGACAAGTTTGAGTTTGAGTCTTGGAATCTACTTATGTCAGTTAAGGCTGTTTTGAGATCAATACAAATGTCTTCTTACTTGCAGCTAACCTGAATGTTCTTCTTGGTTTGCCCTTTGAGTTGCAACAGATGTTTAGCAGAATATCAGACTGCTGAGTGTTGCACTCCAAAGTTGCTCTGGACACCTCTCTGTGCAGTCACCAGGTGTACTGCAGCCCTGTATCTAAACCCATCCACTACCCTTTTATCTCTTGAACAGAGAGCATCTGTGACCACTCCTTTCCAGTGTATAATCATTCTCTTATCACCACTGAATTGTTGGCTGGCACTAACAATTGCAGACCTTACAATGCAAATATGTTCAGGCACTTTAGCAGCCATGCAGTAGCCATAACTTGCTTTTGTTTCCCAAGGCTTGCAGGCTCCTGCCCTCTTGGAAGTGCAGCAGCAAAGCAATGTAGGACATCCCTGCCTGCATCCATCCCTCACCAGACACTGCTACTGTAGGGGGACACTGCCCCAGGCAATAGCTGGGGGCAGTTCACTGTTCCAGGGATAAGGGGTGTAGCACCAGGACATCTGGACAGGGCGTGTGAGTGTCTGTGTGCTGTGGTCTCAGGGTCTGCAGAGAGGCAGAGTCACCCTCTGCCCGGCCACCACTGTTGGCAGGTACCTCTCAAGCACTCTGCCTTCTGCTGCTCCCCCACTCCATCCTCTGATCCACGGCCTGTTGGCACACATGGAATGTTATCCAGGGAGCTGCGTTACTCTGGAGCCTGCCCTTAGACATGTTATTTTCCTGGGGTGCTTCCATGTAAACCTGTCTGCAGAACAGCCAGCTGAGAGTGGAATTGATAACAAAGTACTGATATATATTACTACTATTGGATACTATCTTTTGCATGGTAATATATTTCACAATTAATTTCTCCAACACCTTCTTTTTTAAACAGTTTTGCCAGTTTCTCTCTTCTATTCCTTATTTGATCTTCCATTTCTTTATATTAAAGAAGGAAAGTTTCTGTTTATTAAAGAAAGAAAGAAACATGCAGAAGGAAAAATAAAAAAAAAATAAATAAATGAGAGTTCTTGAAAGTCTTATTCCTTTGCTAGTATAAAACTGTGCAATATTTGAACTGGTTCACTTTAGCTTTTCAATGCAAGATTTTTATCAAGCAAAAACATTTCACCTACCAAAAATATGTCTTGTTAAGCTGTTCCAGGGTTTTTCCTAGCAGAAACTTGTGCTTTCTTTTGCCCTACCTGAAATTTGCAATCATAAGAGCTTCTGAAACTCCATTTTAGCAACACTTCAAAATTACTTAAAAATATTTTTTTTCCAAAATTGAACACTTGGGAAGTGAACACCATTCCACCACACTATTATTGAACAGTTTTCAGCAGATACCAAGTCTTCTACTCATCTCCAAAAAGCTGCACTAAATTAAAGAACCTTTATTTGCTGTGAAGCAAAGCTGTATGAAAATTATTGATAAGTCTTTTCCATTCTCTTCAGGAGTGCAACTATTTAATTTGGCTGCTAATTATTTAAATGGCTAATCAGTGAATTTTTTCATAATCCTAATTTGTTTTACAATTTGGAACCCTAGGCCATTGATCATTTGTAGGTTTTGAATACATATTCACTTCTCCTGGAATGTAATACATAATTTCCTTGCCTCTCATGTGGGTATGAGGAATTAAATTGTCTCCTGCAGGTGTGCAAGGAGGCAGAAGGAGGTATTTGGGTTTTCCTACCCTCATACCTATTTCTATGTGGCTCTGGCTTCTCCAGGGAAGGAATATTGAGAGCTGTGTCAGGTTCTTAAATGTTCATCCTTCTGCTTTGTAGGAACTGAGCTGATGTCAGTGTTACTGGCAAAAATTAATTTCATAGTTCTATCTTATTTTTATAATTCAATGTTCTAATCATAGCTATAAATGAATTAAAACTTTACTCCTCTTCAATCCCCTTGAGAACTGTCTTGGAAAATACTTTGTGGTAGCAACCCAGCATTAATAAGCAAATCACAGGGGAAATAATATATTAAATAGGAAGAGTGGTAAAAATTTATGTTGTGGACAGTTTCTGCTGTGAAGTTAAATCTTCCAAGGAGACTGGCTAGTTTGTACAGTGGTCAGAGATGTGTTCCTGCTAGACTCATTTCCATGTTTATCTGCCTTTCCATGTTTATCTGATGCAAATGTATTTTCTGTTTCTTAGGAGAGCACTCATCTCACGGGAAGAATAAAACTCGGCAACTCTTCACATCTCAGCAATAAATATGTGAGTTTATAGCCTTTGTTTTCCATCCTGTAACATTAGTGTTTATTAATCCCTTTAACGATTTTTAGTCTCAGTACTGTGCCATGTAACTTTAAAAAAAGGGTTAAAAATGCAAGCCAAAAAGAGAAATTACTTTAGTTGGCAGCAGCCTCAAGGAAAAATGGCTTAAACAAAGCTCAGCAGGAGCACCCCATGGTGACCAGATTCACAGGCAAACTGAGGGGCTGAAGAAGCTGCCAGGTCAGAGAGACAGATCTTTATAGGGAAGAGCATGTGACTTTAACTGTTCAGCATTTCCTGGATGTAAACCCCTGGGTGAATTTTCTTTCTGTTTATGTGATAAATAATATATTTTTAAGGTCAGATACCTACTTTTAAAAAATAAATTTGTACCCAGAAGTTTTTTACTCCTTTCTTTTTTCCATGAAAAATCGGAATCTTTTTCACTTCATGCAAAAGCCAGGAGTTTTATTGAGGTGGTTTATTATGGCTTGAAATCCTAGGTGGTTGAATTATAGCAAGTGCTGAATGGTATTTTTATGTATGAGAGGGCAGAGACCATCACAGCACTCTGAAACACAGTTTTTGATGTGGGTGCTGAATTTTCCTTCATATATGAAGCTTTCTCAGGCATCAGAATATCCACTTCCCATGAAGCTGCTTTTCTCATTTATGGAGAACTGTGGAGAGCTGTGGTCCTTTGCTGAGGGTGGGAGAAGGAAGCAGCTGTGGAAGGGCCCTGTGTGACCAGGGTAGAGCAGGAGGCAGGGAACAATGATGTCCTGAGGAATTGGGTGCCACAGCACACGTGGGGTGGACCCAACAGAGGCTCTGGTGAAGCCCAGACTCCCCCCAGCACTGTAGAATGAAGCCCCTCTAGAATGGGTCCCATCAGTCTCCACTGAGAAATACATGGTTGACCAGAAATGTGAAGAACATATTTGATGGTTTTGACATTTTCTCATTTCCCCTAGGTAGAGACTGAGCTTTCCTGATGCCAATAGTAAGGACAAAATTACCTCCTTTGTTCCTTGAATTAGAACAGCAGAATACTGTTTTGCCTACAATTCTGAAAACTCAGAGGTGGTTCAATTTGTGTGGATCCAGGACAAGGGCTTGGACAATAAATTTAATCCTTATTGTCTATTACAAACTGGATTTATTCTGTGTCTTCCATTTTAGTTTTCTCTTATGTTCCTGAACAACCTTACCTGGAATAATACTCCTGAGATGCTCTTGTCTTTTCAGATGTGAAGGAGCCTGTTTTGCCATAATATGCAGAACATCTCACCAAAGTTGCATTTCAATGGGAAATGTGGAGAAGCTGAAGCTTTTTACCATCAGGACACTTCTGTTAATGGCTAGGTTTTGTCTTCTAAATCTCAAGCATCTCCTTTCCCTTCTGGGATGACATGTAATTTTTTTGATGGCTTAATAACTGGTATACCATGTATATTTATTATTTTCACATATAGTAAAAGCAGGGAAACAAGGTTGAGGAGAATGTAAAAACAAGATGAGTGAAGATGATATAGAAATTTGGTGATGTTTGCATAGTAGCTACTAAAAATATTTTCTGCACACACAGGAAGGAATATGTCAGCATATTTTGTTGAACTTATGGTGGCTAGGGATATTTTAGTTGTATGTAGCAGAATACAAACAGGACCTGACCCTTGGAACAGGACTGGGCAAACAGCCACTATGAAAATTAATTCAGTGATTTGCATGAGACTCCTCACTGTAGCACATGCTTTGCTTGTCATAAATGTTTACAGGGTGGGATGCCAGGCTGAGATGCTGAAGTGTATGCTTCTTTTCTGTGAAGGGAGGAATATACCTTGCACTGAGGCTCTTTGAAATTCTGTAAATTACTGAATATAATCTTTGCAACGTAGCAGGCAATAGTTGGTTTTCACCTGTTCCTTGGCTAATTGCATTATGCGAGCTGCAGATATGGCTCCCATATAGCCTGGGGCACACAGTGGGAAATCAGCAAGGTAAGCAATTTCCCAGATGAACCTTCCTTGTGTTCTGAGTAATGTATGGAATTCCTGCGGGTTATTGAATAACTCTGGAAGTTCAAAGAGCGTTTCAAGTGCTAATTACAGACACTCTTAATTTGTACAGAGCTGACAGTTCCAAAATATCAAGTAGTGCTTCTGCCTGCATGTACCCTACCTTTCTAGAACTATAAATGTTTGAAAGTTATATTACTGTGAGCATCTGCTCAGTCTCAATCCACTGACTGTAGCATTCCAAGGATTATGGTTTTTTTAATTGGGAAATGGAAAGAAGACAACTTTTGGGACAATCATCTAAGTTTTGATACCTATTGATACAATGCTTTTGAGGAACTTTTCTCTCCAATTTCCTTCTCTGAAATACTAAAACCTGCCTATCATTATGGTGAGAGATTGGGCAGATTTATTACTTCATGTCTATAGACAAATCTGAAAAGTGTTTATTTCCCTGTGCTTGGCCACTGCTCTTACTTCTGCTTTGGTGGGTCTGATAATCTTCTTTCTTAGTGGCACCATGAGAGACTTTTGGTGAAGCTCAATAAAAGATGGGAAACTAGCAAGTGTCCATGCTGCAACTGAACTTACGTGGTTCATTCAGGTATTCCTGGATCACTTGTTTTCCTCAGGAGCAGAGAAGTCTTGGATGCCTGCTTTGGAAAGGTTGGGCCATCTAAAATATGCAAGTTGGTATCTGCAACTATTCTGGTTCCTGGCTGAAGAGGTTTCCTTCCAAAAAAAACCAGTCATGGTGGATTTTCACGTTGATTAAAAACCCAAAGTATTTTGTAGTGTATTGTATCATAGTGAAAGGACAGTAGAGAAAAGAAGAGAAATATTGTGAAATATCTGTTTGTGGTTTTGTGCAAAATCTGTTCAGAAACTACCATGTTGTGTCAAGAAAAAATTTTACTGCCTATTAAAATTTATTATCTTTATTAAGTAGCTATCCTTTTCTGTTTTCAGAAATACAATCCATTGCACATGTCTAGCACAACTATTGTCCATTACTCCTCATTCCTGTTTCACAGAATAAGGTGGACCCTTTATGGCAAGTCTGGAGAGCAGACATTAGGTATTCTGGGCATGGTGGTGGCAGGGGCTCTGTGAAACCTTGCAGAAGGCATGCTGGAGGTGGCAAGTGGAAACTCCTCCTCATTGCAATCTGTGATGGGGAGAGGACAGACCTCTCTGCAAATCCTGGAAAAGTGAAAAAAACCAAAACAGGGAAGGTGTTTGGGCTCTTAATGATAAGGGGCATGGCAGACAACAAAACGCTCATTGGAAGGCTGGCAAATATCTCACAAAGAGACTGGCTTGTGCTGAGTGTGTAAGAAGTAAAAGAGGTGGGTTCAGTGGACAGCAGAAATAACAGCCTGAGATCCTCCTAACCCCTGAAATGACAAAACTTGTGGTAAAGGGAGACAATATAAACATCTGTTCTTGTTAAGAATCACAAGGGAACTTATGTTTGTATGAAGGAGAGAAGACAGATTTACTTGAAGGATATATGTAAAGCACAGAAAGGATTTGGAAGAATATTTGGGGTGCTTTTCTTCTGCAACGTTGGAGGTGCTGGAATTGCCTCTAATGGGAGGTGATGAACTGTCTGCAAAGATAATTTAGTATTTAAAGAAGTTATATGCAATGGCTTAGGTAGATGAAAAAGAAATGAAAAATCCATTCAGGTTGTCTGGATCAACAGATCCACTGTAATATGTGTCTAAAAGAGCCACTAGAGTTTTTCTAATCACTAGTATGACTAAAAACACCAAAAAAAAAAAAAAAAAATTTTAAAAAAAAAAAAAAAAAAAAAAAAAAAAAAAAACAACAAACAAAAAAAAAACCCCCCAAAAAAAAAACACCACAGAAGTTAAAATTGATCCTTCACTGTGAGGTTTGTCTATATGAGAATATTAGAAAAATGGATCTACATTTGTAAAAGTCTTTTCACCAAAGTTTGACTAAATCTTCTGTGCATAGTCCCATCTAAATTTAATGTTCTTTAGCTTCTGTGTCCTAATTTGCTAAAGAAATGAATGACATCCACTTCACTGTGGAATGAACATGCCCACAGAAATGTAATTAAACTGGATCTGCTTACAAATTAGTTCAGCTCATGAGTTACTTGTTAAACAAGTTTGTATGTCAAGTATATGATTTTGATCTACATGTTACAATCCAAGACTACAGATAATCACTGCCAGCAAAGTGTGCAGGGCTCAGGTTTGCCAGGAGAAAGTGTTTTCAGCACTGCTCATCTCAGGCTTAACTTGAGAAGGCAAGTCACTCTCTTCAAGCACAGAAAATTTCCCTGAGTTCTTCCTAGAGTCTAACCCTGCTCAGTACAAAATTTTCAATATTTTGGGAGCGACTATTTGCAGTATGCTGGGATTTTGGACACAGTCCCAAACAAGACAAGTGGGCACAGAAAAAAAAGAGCCAATGAAGCACAAAAAAAAAGATGTGACACAGTCCATTGACAATTGGCTTTCTACTCTAAGATGCTGTATCAAGTTACTTGACTCACAGAAAGAAAACGTTCATCACTATTTACAGGGAAAAGGTCTAGAAATGAGAAGAACAACACAGAAAAGTTGAAAATAATTATTTCTAAAAGGCAGATGCTGAAAAGGTGCTCTTCAATCAGAAGCAGCTTATTAGTATGTACATATTCTTGCATGTTTGGCTGAGGGCCTCATGATGGCTGCTCATGAATGGGCCAATATTTTGGGGTTTATTTGCTTATTGGATCACAGGAATCATTCTAGCCCTTGACACTCCATTGTCTGTGGACAGAATTGTTTTACAAGCACTGCTTAGAAAGCTGTTTAAATGAAAAATATTCCTTGGTCTGTTTGTTGTGGGAAAGTTGTACAGACTGCCAGTGAGGCTGTTGCAAGGCAGAGCAGTAGCACTGTCAGGATACTTCACCTTCCAATACTGCCAGAGGCATCAGCAATGACTCCACCCCACTGAAGAGGAGTGAACCATTTCACTGCATACCAGTGCACAGTAGACTTAGAGAAAGACATAAAGCACATCAGTCTCTCTGGCTGAGGACAGCGAGGCCATTGGCAGTATCTGTGAGACTTCTTGGCTGCCAGCAGCCCAGGATTTGGCTTTTCTGCTGTGCCCTGTGGTGGCAGCACTGCCTTCACAGCCCTCCCTTCACTTTTTGGGTAGAGTGCAGTTGTATTTCTGCAGTGCTCCTGGAAGCTCGCTCACCAGAGCATTCTCCAGCCTCAGTGGTGTTCCCTGACATGCTGGGCACCTCTAGCACATGCCTACAGCAAAGCATTCTCCCCAGGAAGCTTTAAGCATATATCTCAGGACCTCTCTGGCACCATTAATTATGGCTCCTCGATTTCTTCAAATTAGAACCCTATATCTAATAAAATAAAAAAGCTTAAAGATTACTCTATTGATTTCCAATTGAGGCAGCCTTTCTGCTTATGGCCGAGGGCAAACCATAAAACACAGACTTTAATTAACCCTGGTGAATGCAGCTGACATGAAATGTCAATACCCTCAAAATTTTCAGCATAAACAGCTGAAGGATCTTCTCAGCTCCCTTGTATCCACTTTGCACATTCCCTGGGTGGAGATCCACAGCAGAGGCCCTTCCCTGTTGGTCTGCACTGGGACAGGGGCAGAAACCTCTCTGCTGCCACAACCATCTTTATTGCTGGCATCGCTGGCTGTGCCTGTTGATGTGCCTCTCTCTTTGCCTTCATCTTGAGGGTTGGACTAGACCTTAAAGCTCATTGCCAACACAAATTATTCTGTGATCTTCTCCTCCCATGGCCTTGCAGGTAGGCAGGACAAAGACCCATGAGCAGCCTGCTGGTGGCCTACAAGGGACACCCAGCAGGTCCTGCTGCATCCTGGGGACCCTGTGCCGTGGTGGGCAGCTCTGAGTCTGTTCTTCAGGCATCCACAGGTAACCTGTGTCTGTAGCACTGCAGCCTTTGCACTGTGCTGGGCCTGTTCCCTGCAACAGTGTCCTGCAATTTCAGGGTGTTCAGCTGCACAGAGCTTAGTCAGTTCTTCGAGGTCAAAGCTACTGGGGTGCCTCAGCAGAGCAGACCCATCAAGAGCTCTGTTACATTTCAGGACCCTCACAGGTGGCAAAGTTGCAAAGAGAGGAGCAGCACTCAGGACCTCTGGCTGGCCAAGGGTGAAACATTAACCTGCCTGTGGGAAAGTGTTTCACTGCCTCACATGGTGGGGCTTCTGTAGCAGCAATGCCAGCTTTTGGGGCCACATCACGCCACTCAAGGGAGTAGCACTAAACAGAGTAGCTACAGAACTCAATACCACTCAAAAACCCCACTAAATAAAACTGGGAAGAAATAAAGGACTATGTGGGCAAGGAGCATTTCATTGGTTTTCATCTCTGCTTTCCACAGAGCATTTATTTTCTCCAGATTTGGTGCTTTCTGATAGAAAAGCAACTGTGTTACTGTGTTCTTTATTATTATTAACAACTTTCACCTTTCTCATTACATCAGTAGGACGCTTCCCTGGTCGGGGCGGCTGTTTTTCTAATGAATGTGGCTCATTTGTCTGTTTCCCTCCCTCCCTGCTCTGCTTTTTGTCTGCTTGCTCTTTGGGTAGTAATTTGATGTATTGAGCTCTCACCACCTCCGCTGCCCCTGGGGCTGAAGTTCTGACGATGCTAAACAGTTAAAATGCAATGCAATTACAGGCAGTACAGAACAGCAGAGAATAAGCCAGCAAAAATTCAGTCATGCATAACTCTGTGGAGACTGTGTGGTTGTCAGTCTCCAACTCCAGGAGATAATTTGGGCTTTATAAGAAGCAATAATTGAGCCTTTTGCATATGCTGCGGTTATGAACTAGTCAAAAGCCTGTTTGCTCTGCACCCTGGAGCACCAGATGGATTGGATAGTCCCTGCAGGTCTTTCAGGGCTGCCAGCTTTACACTTCAAGACTTTTCTAGCTCCTGTACTTGTAAGTTATTCTTTTGACAGCTCTTATGCAAATAGGCACCTTGTCTGAATTTAGCTGGCAAAGTGAGGAAGAAAGGGTGAAGAAGAGCATGAAATCCACATAGCTTGGAGGAGTTCAGAGCCAGAGGTGAACTCTGCTGCTCACCTCAACCCAAGAAAAAACCATTTGAGGGAGAAAACCATAACAGACCTTCAGCCCTTAGAGTATGGTAAGTGCTGTGTGCTGCAGGTCAGGCTGTGGCCTCAGGTGTCCCGTGCCAGCCAGTCTGATCACACTCACTTTCAGTCCTATCTTCACAAAAATCCCACGTGCATATTTCCAAAGAAGACTCAGTACTAGGAAGCTCAACAAAGAGCTGCTACTAGGAAAAAAAAAAGTGAGATGTCTTTTCCCTGGGATTTAGCAGCTGACCGCATTGAAGCACACACCTGATGGAAAGGGCAGAGAGGAGGTGATTGCAGTACCTGCAGCTGCTCTGCTGACCGTCAGGTCTTTGCCTTGGACTTGCAGGTCAAATTTCAAAGGTGAGCTACAGAAATGTCTAAACACTCCCCCCTCCCAGTCAGAGCCCCTGCTGATGGAAGGGGGAGCAAGAGGTAGGATGGGAGGGAAAGCATCTACTGGGTACAAACCCCTCATCTGCCCAATGCTTGTTGGGCTTGCTTACCACACTCTCCCTGCGTCCCTCCCTCACATCCCCAAATCTGTGGGCATTCTTTGAAGACAGGGACAGAAAAGACTTCATTCTACTGCACTACAGTTAAAGCTCTGCTAAGTGCTCTGCATGAAAGGCCTGACCTACACCTCTGGGAGGTGGAGATAAATGGGGCCAGGATGTGAACCAGACTGCACTTTTGTGCTGCTTAAACCAGGTGTTTTAGGAGCCATGGCAAGCTGTCACTCACCTGTGCCAGACTGTGTATGGCTGAGCAGCTGGGGGAGATTCAGGGTGCCCACCCCACAGGAAAGCTGGCCCTGAGGCACTTGTGTTCCCCATCACCCCAGCAATTTCTTTCAGGT